TCATATTCTTCGTCTTGTCTCTCGTCTTCGTTATCCATTTTGGCTTTAATTTCTTCTTCTTCTTCTTCGTCTTCTTCTTCTTCTTCTTCTTCTTCTCCTCCTCTTGTTTGTTCTGACTCTCCTCTGTTGCCTCTTCCCCATCTCTTTCCAGTTTATCTTCCTCCCCCTTCTTCCTTCCCCCAGTTTACGTCCCTATTGTCTTTCCTTCCTCCCAAATCTCCCCTCTCTCCCTCTTAATATCCATTCCTCCCCGAAGTCTCCTCACCCCCATCTATCCTCCCCATCTCCATCTCACCTCCCCATAAACCCGTAGGTGGGAGAAAAAGGGGGTTTGCCCTCTTCCTTTCCAACTTTCTCCCCTTCTCTCTTAATTCTCTGTCCTCTTCCTCCCCATCTCCCCTCTTTTTCTCTCCCATTTCCCCTCTCCACACCCCTCAGGAGACATAAATCGGTAGGTGGGAGACAAGGAGGTCTCACCGAGCTCTCTTATGACGCTAATGTGGAACTCTGATTAAGATGAATTACTCTCTCGGCCGCGTTATGTTCCTGCAAAGGGTCCTGTGTGTGTGTGTGTGTGTGGGTGTGTGTGTGTGTGTGTGTGTGTGTGTGTGTGTGTGTGTTTGAGTTTGCGTGTTTGTGTGAGTGAGGGAAATAAGTAAGTGTACGTGTTTTGTCTTCGTGTACACATGTGACTGTATGCCTGTCTGTACGTTTGAGTGCACGCGCTTGTGTTTGTGTGTGTTTGTAAAATTGCATGCACGTAAAAGACATTCCCAACGTACTTTTCCCTTAATTTGAAACATTTCTCTAAAAGTGCAGTAAACTTATGAACTGTGCCGGATGTGGACCACTTCTGGCTCACAGAAACAGAAAGGAATTCTACCGAAAAGACTAGCACAGTTTGTGAGACTTTAATGTCATAAAAAGTAAATGGAATAGATAGAGAGAGAGAGAGTACCCAGAGTATATGTCTTGGTAATGAACACAGCTGGAGGCGCCAATATACATGACATATTGGCAGGATTACTGACACTGGATATTGTGTGTGTGTGTGTGTGTGTGTGTGTGTGTGTGTGCCGGCCTCCGAGTGTATATGTATATAAGTTTTAATATACAATATAAAATTTCATTCAATATACACGCCCACATAACAGTAGTACACCCTCGTTAATACTGATATATACAAAATATATTCAACCATTTTAACTCAATTATTCCTCAAAACTTCGCCTTCGAAATTTAGCCAATCAGCTTCTACAATAGCCAGCCAGCTAGCCAATAGACGATCGCCACGTCACTCAACATTTCTCCAGATCTGAAAGCACTAAAACCCATAAACTAAATCCGACTTTAGAAACAAACTGGAATACTAGTTATATGAATAGAGAACCAATGAGAATTCACCAAGGCAGAGATGGACCAATGAGAAACACCATCACCGTCATAATAAACCAATGAAAATACAACAAAACTATGACACAAGAAGAAAAAAAAAACAAGAATTGTCAACATCCAAAACCAATCACGTGTTGACGATTGATTTTTCCCACCATGATGTATAAAGTACGTGTAACCAGACCGAGAATATAACTAATATTTTCCCCAGTATGGAGGAGGTTTAGGTAGGCAGGATAATATAGCTATTACCTCTACAGTCATAATTCTGCGTTAGTCAGCTTTATGAACGCCTCTCTTGAGTGATCGACCGACACACTGACAGAGATAAATTCTATTAAGTTATAGTAAGGGAAACGAATTTATTGTGCATGGTAATAATGAGTCTATTGTGTGACTGTAGAGAGGTGATTTAGTCAGTAGCTAAAACAATTAAATTATTACAATGAACCAGCAGGGTGGGTTAACAAGGCCTGTGGGAACTGTCTGTCTGTCTGTCTGTGTGATTGTCGGTCTGCTTGCTTGTCTGTATGTCTGTCTGTCTGTGTGTCTGTCTGTGTGTTCTAGCTGTCTGTGTCTGTCTGTATGTCTGACTGTGTGTTTATCTGCCTGTGTGTCTGCCTGTGTGTCTGTCTGTATGTCTGTCTGTCTGTGTGTTTGTCTGTCTGAATGTTTGTTTGGCTTTGTGTTTATGTGTGTGTGTGTGTGTGTGTGTGTGTGTGTGTGTGTGTGTGTGTGTGTGTGTGTGTGTGTGTGTGTGTGAGTGTATGTGTGTGTGTTTGTTTGTCTTCATGTCTGTCTATGTGCTTATGAAAAAAAAAACAGAAATAGAAAAAAAAGGAAAAAGAAAAAGCAATAAAAACAAGAAAAAATTAAGAAAATGGAAAAAAATTCAGCCTTGCAATATTTACAGAATATGTTAAACGCTTGTTGCCGTGAGCGGGGCGCGTGTAGCATACTTTTGGACCGAAGGCTCCTTGTAAATTATTCAATAACTGCACAAGAGGAGGAGGAGGAGGACAGGAGGGCTTTGTGGTGGGCGTTGGTGCAAGTTGGCGGCTCAATCCCACACACACGCCGAGCACTTGTGTCGACCTTAAAGTGTCTTTCCTGGTGTGTGTGGGTTATGTTTAGAAACATGTGGAGGAAGGTGAGAGTGTGTGTGTGTGTGTGTGTGTGTGTGTGTGTGTGTGTGTGTGTGTGTGTGTGTGTGTGTGTGTATCCTGCAGGCATCATAAGTTTACTTGAAGGACCCGTTTTTTGTCACCAGGAAACTTGGCTGCGAGTAAGTTTATTGTTGTAAAACTATAATCCTTTATGTGCAGTCTCACCTCACTTTATCTTCCAACGCTTATTGTATTATTGTGTGTGTGTGTGTATGTGTGTGTGTGTGTGTGTGTGTGTGTGTGTGTGTGTGTGTAGGTACGTAAAACAGTTTAATCATTTAAGATGTAAAAACAGACATATTTCGCTTCAGCTATTTGTTAATGAGGGACGCTGCCGGATAACTCGCTGCTGCTCCACGACAAAATGGTTAATAATCAACAAATAAATCAACGAAAGTGTGTTGGTGTATTAAACAAACTGATCTCGAGGATAAATCACTTTTCACGACTTGTATAATTCTCTCTCTCTCTCTCTCTCTCTCTCTCTCAACAAGTTTTCCTCCAAGTTTGATGATGATTAGAAATTAAACACTTAGATTTTTGTTTGTTTGTTTCACTTTCCAGTTAAAACCTGTAAAGCTTTAAAAGAATGATACAACTTAAAACAACCTAATCTAACCTATGCTAACCTAACCTAACCTAACCTAACCTAACCAAACCAAACCTAACCTAACCTAACCAATACCCCACCTAACTGGCTCCCGTGAACCACCAATTCATATCTTATTTCATAATATTATTGTCAGGGTAATGTTCCTGGTGGGTCTTGCTCACGCTCAAGGGATTTTCTCGGCTACATGAGGGTGACAGGTAATGGCTTAATGGCGTTTAAAGGGAATTAACCCACACGGACTAATGGCAAAGTGACCTGCGCAAGTACAGGTCATCATCATTGAAACGACCTGTGATCTTTCTCTTTGCCTGCACAAGCACCCTGAATACGATGACACTCATGAGTAAGTGGTGTTATGTAAGAAGCACAAAGGGACACAATGCTTTAGGTATTTAGCCATAACGGGTGGTCAAGTGACCGGTGGGAAGCACTCGTCATCATAGAAGGATTTGTACCTGCCAGCTCTGCCTGCACAAGCACCCTGGGAGAAGTGAGAGATAGAACGTCCCAAGATTGTGCCATTAGAGCTAGTAAAGTGACATGTGAGGCACGGATCACGAGGGAACGACCACTGATCCTTCTCCCTGCCTCCACAAGCTCCCTGGATGAGGTGAGTGACCAGGAAAATCCTCCCTCGGTAGGATTCCAAGCCCTCGAGCGGCCTTGGTGCAGCGCCTCTCGGACTGGCTTACCTGCCCTGCTACATCTGGCTGGGCTGACGGTGTACTGTGTTGCCCGGACAGTCCACCAGCGAGGTTCAGTCGTCAAGGCTGCCAGTTAAATCTATCTGTCAACTCCGTCCATCAAGACTAGCTCTCAAGCCATCTGTTAATTACACCTATTGAGGCCAGCTGTCAAATACACCTATTGAGGCCAGTTGTCAAGTATTGCTATTAAGGCCAACTGTTAAGAGAACCTGTCGAGGTCATTTGCCAAGGGCACTTTTCACGTCCATATGTCAAGGTTACAAGTCGATTTTATCTTCTAACAATATGTGTCAAATCAAGTCAAAACATATCAGTTCAACACGGGAACACAATTTTCTTAACACGAGAACAGATGCCAACTCAACCCAACAATGAAGACTCTCTACTCAGGTGGAAGATGAGAGGATTTCGTCTTTCACAACTGACTAATGAGGGTAAGATCTTAAGGATTCGAAATAAATTGGTGGCCCTCTTGCCTTTGTCTCTGAAGGAAACGTGTACATCGTTTCGTTTGTATACCTGCATTATATATATATATATATATATATATATATATATATATATATATATATATATATATATATATATATATATATATATATATATATATATATATATATATATATATATATATATATATATATATATATATATATATATATATATATATATATATATGCTGAACCAATGCTAACTTGTCTAATGATTTTACTGTCTGTCTGTCTGTCTGTCTGTCTCTAAGATCATCCGGTAGTCATGTTGGAGATTAATTTGTCGTTTCTCATCCAGGTTATAAACACTAATGTGATGAACTCATTATATGAATACTCAAGTGTGTTAATATGAAACCTCATAAATAACTCGGAGAGGTTAGTTGGTGGGTGTGTGTGTGTGTGTGTGTGTGTGTGTGTGTGTGTGTGTGTGTGTGTGTGTGTGTGTGTGTGTGTAATTTCTGCATCATATTCCAGCTCTTTCAAATCATCTCTTATACTTTTATCCTCATCCTATTCTCTTTACCTTCCCCTCTCCCTCGGGAAAACAACAACAAGTCATTACCCAAACATCGACAATACAACCAGGTAAACAAAGTCATCTTAACCAACAATACACTGTACATACCTAAGGCGAAACCGTCCTTCGTCCATTGTGCTTTACCCTGTTGGTTCTCTATCTCACAAGGTAGGTTGACGCTGCTCCCTGCCACCACCTCGACGCTGTGTGGTGCTACTCGGAACGTCTGCGGCAAACTCCATCCTGTTGAGGTTAAAGGTCAAGTGTTAAAGTTGATAATAAAATATAAATGAAATGGGGAAGTAATAGAAGTAAAACTAGACGGAAATATAAGATAAAACATTGATACAAAATGAAACAAAGCAGAAAAATAGACTAAAATCAATTAAAAAACCTAAAACCAGACAGAAATAAACGAACTTATAAACCTAACACAAGAAAAATAAACGTTCATGGGGAAATAAACCAACACCCAAAGACCGTGCATATAAACCAACACAGAGACCCGTTCGTATTAAACCACGAGACATTTGGACCGTAATCACTCCCCCCTCGGACCTATTAATTAATCACGAAGTTTATACGAGGCGGACATACATCACTACGGTCAGAGGTAATTACTCAAGCAACCCCACCCCACATACCCACTCCCTTGATATTCTTGGTCCTAATACTGCTGGAAGAGACCCTGTAACAGCGCTTTACACATGTACTACCACCTAAAACACTCAACTCTATCTCTCAGGTTTACGGAAACTAGACAACTTCCCTCCATAGTTTAATAGGTAAGATAATCATCCCTTATCTTCACAGGTGCCTGTTGTGGAGTAGAGAGCTAGTGTAAGTGAGAATATGGGAGATTTAGAGGTGGGCTGGAGGTAGGAGGGTTGAGGTAAAATAAGGAAAAGGGATGGACTGAGTGGGGAGAGGAAATGGGGAGAGAGAGGGATGAATGGGAGAGTGGGGAGAGTGGGGAAAAGTATGGGGAGTGAGAAAATAAGAGAAAAAAGAAGAGAGAGGAGAGAAGGTAATAGGGAAGGGAGAAGGGAGGGAGGAAGAGATGAAAGTTTTAGAGAGATAAACAAATGGAAAAGAGGGAAAAGAGGATAAGAGAAAGAGAGAGAGAGAGAGAGAGAGAGATGCAACGGGAGGGGCGGATGGACTGACTGGTGGAGGGAGAGAGAAAGGAAGGGAGGGAGGGAGGGAGGGAGGTAGCTGGCCTCCATCCATCACCACAGCAAGAGTGAGGCCCCTGACCTACTGACAGGACCCTCTTGTAATACACGCTGGGACGACATGGCTCTGAGGCCTCAACTGTAGGAGGCATCAAGGAGGAGAGAGAGAGAGAGAGAGAGAGAGAGAGAGAGAGAGATCACACCACTGCAACAATAACACGAACAGTAAACAAGACACAAACAAAGCGAGATAAATGGTGAGTTAACGTAAACAAGAATTAAGAATAAATAAATAAATACTTCATCTTTAAAAACATTATGAATTACGGTGTGTGTGTGTGTGTGTGTATGTGTGTGTGTGTGTGTGTGTGTGTGTGTTTACCCTCTGAATTGATTGGTTAGTGGACCACTGATGGATGAAACAAACGGGAGTTGAAGAGGAATTGTTTGTAAAAGAAAAAAATATATACAAACACACAAACAAACAGAAATTTCACTCAAACAGCGGACATGATATTACAAACTGTATATATTTTTCTTTTACTCTGGTCACATGTGTGCGAGAGGGCAGGGGAGGGAGGAGGGGGAGGAGGGCAGGGAGGGAGGGAGGAGTGTATGTAAAAGAAAAGGGTGTTGTCTCTATTGTACTATAGAGAAGTAATAAAGGAGGTGAGGTGAGGGAAGAAAGAATTAAGGAGTGAGGGAAAGGGGTGAGGGGGAAGAAAGGTGGGGATGAGGGAGGTGAAAGGGTGAGGTGGGGGAAGAAGAGGGGTGAGAGGGAAGGTGGGGGTGAGGTGCAGGGAAGGTGGAGGGGGTGAGGTGGGGGGGAAGGTGGAGGGGTGAGGTGGGGGAGGTGGAGGGTGGGGTGAAGGAGTGGGGGTGGGTGGGGGGGAGGTGGGGTGGGGCAGGGGAGGAGTGGAGGGTGGGGTGCAGGGGAGGTGGGGAGGGTGGGGTGGGGGGAAGGTGGAGGGTGGGGTGGGGGGGAGTGGAGGGTGGGGTGCAGGGGGTGGGGAGGGTGGGGTGCAGGGAGGTGGGGTGGGGTGGGAGAGAGGAAAGAGAGTGATGGGTGAGATGAGGGAAAGGAAAGAGGGACTAGATGGTGAAGTGGTGATGGATCGAACCATGGGAGGAGTTTGTAACATGACCGAGTGTTAAAACAGAGAGTTTACCTGACATCGATTCGGTCTCTTAAAAACAAAACTTAGGAAAATATTGACAGAAAGACTTCAATAAGGATCTGTCTTCGTCTTGTCCCTCTGCCTTACGCTCACTCGTATGTTCATATCTCTATTTATTTTTACTGTCTCTTTTTCTCTTCTAAATTTGTTTCATCTACAAGTCTCTCTCTCTCTCTCTCTTATCCCCAGTATATTATTTATCCAGTTTTCTTTCTTTCTTTATCTTTCTTCACCAACTTATTTTTCTGTGTCTCCATTATCTCTCTGTCTCTCCCGCCCTCAAAACATCTTCCCAATTTTCCGTCTCGTCCCCAGCTCATCTTATTCATCATCTTTCTAACATTTCTCTCTCTTTCTCATCCCCAGCTCATCTTGAAGACAGGAGCTGTCCTCTCGTCAGAATAGGTGAAAAGGGGGGAGGGGAGGGGAACTGCGGTATCTTTGGGGGGACTTGGAGGAAGGAGGAGGAGGGTGTAATTCCCTAATTATGTACGCTAGATTAAATCCTATAATTGGCGCCCAGATCGCCGAGAGTAATGTGGCCGTCATTGGTATCATCTGGCCACGCAGGGAATCCAGACCTCATCCGTCCACACTCCAAAGCGCGTCTGTGGTGAGGAGGGAGGGGGGGAGGAGAAAGGAAATGGAGGAAATAAGGAGGAAGAGGGAGGAAAGTAGGAAGGAGGGAGGAAATGGGGAGGAGGAGGAAGTGAAGGGAAAGGAAGGGACAGAAGGATGCCAAGTGAAGGGAGGGTAAAAAAAGGAGGAAAGAAATGAAAAGAAAGGAGAGACGGACAAAGATGGAGGAATACGAATATGTGGCCCCCCACCTTTCGACCTCATCCCTCTCTACTTAGACACTTGGACCCTCTGAATATTTCCCTCAACCCCTCCTCCCTCACCCCCCTTCTCCATCTTCCTTCCTCTCCTTCCTCTCCCTTACCTTCTCCATCTTCCTTCTCCCTTATCTCCCATGCCCCCCCTCCTCCCTCTCCCTCTCCCTTCCTCCCTCCCACCTTACACATTTCTGTTTTCCAACATTTTCGTCATCGTGAGTTTTTTATCTCCTTGACTTTAAGCTCAGCCAGGTGTGGGAGGTAAGATTACAATATAACAATATATCATTTCAGAGGATTATAAAACCTGCTATATTATCTACAAGTGATCTTATATAGCAGATATATTAAGTTAGATAAAAATACTGTAATGCTATAGAACTAAATGAGAAGCAAAATTAACTAAATATTAAGTAGGATGTAAGATTTTAATGAGACACCAATATATATATCATATGGTCCAGCCAGAAGACATCACATGTATATTAAAGTTGGATTCATCCACTCTTGAATCCAGGTGAAATCAGATAACATATTAGATATATTTTAATATATATTGGGTTCGTCACAGAGTTTGAATAGTTACAATGAAAGAACGCCTAATTAAAAATATACGGTTCATTCTCCACTGAGTTGGTATTAGGAGAGAGACCACACGATAAATAAATAAATAAATAAATTGTTGAACATTTTCATACTAAGGCGACGTGCATTCATACCAAAACATTACCTGTATGCAAATATTGACACGAGTGATATCAAAATAAGCTGAATGCAATAATATTTTTAGGGTACGTTGGTCGGGTAGATAGAACGCTCGCTTCCTCTCCTAAGGTGCGTTGGTTTAATATCCAGAGACACTAACTTATGAGGGACCAATAATTTAGTTGCTTAATTAACTCAAATAAATGGTTACAGGCTACAGGTTATGGGCTACAGGTTACAGTTAACAAGCTACAGGTTAAAGATTACAGGTTACAGTGAGACATTTGATCTGGAGTTTCTATTTTCAACAAATTCACAAAAAGGAAATTACATAATTATCTGTTAACAAAGCATGACTTAAGTAATTAAAACTTACACCAACTAGGCGACCAAACAGGTGATGTGGGGCGTAATAATTGTCTTTGTTTAACACCCGAGTAGGAGGCTGTTGGTAAGAGAGAGTAATTAAAAAGGGAAGAGAGTTAAACAGTGTAAGATAGATAGATAGATAGATAGATAGATAGATAGATAGATAAAAAGACAGAGAAAAGACTGACAGAAACAGAGAGACAGACAGAGATAAAGACAAATAAAATAAGAGAGAGGGAGAGAGAAAGTCACACAGAATAAGAGAGCAAGAGAAAGATAAGAGATAAAATTAAGTTAGATAAATCCTTTTGTCAACATAAACAATATCTTGCTAATACTCTTAACTAATTAGAGTCAAGTCTGAGATTAATTTTAATGATATTGAATTATTTTATCTTTCCCTTACGAGGTTTATTGGATCGTATGAGTGTTAGAGAATCAGGAGGAAAGAATCAAGAGGAAAGAATCAGGTGGAAAGAATCAGGTGGAAAGAATCAGGTGGAAAGAATTAGGAGGAAATAATCAAGAGGAAAGAATCAGGTGGAAAGAATCAGGTGGAAAGAATGAGAAGGGAAGAATCAGGAGGGAAGAATCGTAGGGGAAGAATCGCAATGAAAGAATCAGGTGGAAAGAATCAGGAGGAAATAATCAGGAGGAAAGAATCAGGAGAAAAGAACCAGGAGCAAAGAATGAGAAGGGAAGAATCAGGAGGGAAGAATCGTAGGGGAAGAATCGCAATGAAAGAATCAGGTGGAAAGAATCAGGTGGAAAGAATGAGAAGGGAAGAATCAGGAGGGAAGAATCGTAGGGGAAGAATCGCAATGAAAGAATCAGGTGGAAAGAATCAGGAGGAAAGAATCAAGAGGAAAGAATCAGAGGGAAGAATCAGGAGGAAAGAACCAGGAGGAAAGAATCAAGAGGGAAGAATCATAAGGAAATAGTTATGTTAGGGAAGTATCGTAAGGTTTTTGTACAGCGGA